GGCAGTTCTCCAAAACTATAGCCCAAATCCTGCTTAATTTGATTCTGAACCATAGATGAGACCCCTCCAAAATACGTAGCACTTTTGAATAGATTTGCTTGCAATCCTGAAGCTTTTGTGAATACAGAAAAATTTTCCTGCAATATGTAAACAGATTATGTATCTCCTTTTGCAAACATTAGTAGATCATCTGCAAAGCTTAAGTGAGTAATCTTGAGCTTGTTGCACTTTGGATGATATTTGAACTGCATGTGATTTGCCACGTCATTTAAATTTTTGCTCAAATATTTCATGACTATAGCAAACAAAAATGGAGACATAGGATCTCCTTGCCTTAATCCTCTAGCTGCCTCAAAAGGTTTGGTCAGTTCTCCATTGATTAAAATTGAGTAAGAAATAGTGGTTACAAATTCCATTACCAAATCTATAAATCTCTTAGGAAATCCCAATCCTGCCATTACTTGTTCCAATCACCTCCAGTCAATAGTATCATATCTTTTTTCAATATCCACCCTTATCATACATCTAGGTGATTTCACATTTTTCCTATTGCATGCTTGTACTAGTTCATGTGCAAGAATGATGTATCTGCTCCTTTCCTCCCTGGAATGAAACATGCTTGAGCTTCTGAAATCACAATTGCTATCACCTTCTAAATTCGATTGGCCAACACCTTTGCTATGATTTTATAAACTAAAGTACAACAAGCTATGGGTCTATATTCTCTAATATTTGATGGATTTTGTACTATAGGCAGCAACGTAACAAATGTACAATTAACAGCTTTGTATAGTTTGTCAGTCTTGAAGAACTGATGCTTGATTATTAGTATTATAAAAAAACAGCATTGTATCCATCTACACCTGGAGCCTTATCATCACCTACTCAGCATAATGCATCATAAATTTCCTTCTCATTTACCTCTGCACATAAAGTCAGTTGTTGAGTGTGATTGAAAGTTGGTCTTGTCTTCATGATAGTCCTACTCACAGTAGTAATATTTATCATTGCAGCTCCCATTAAAGATTGGTAGAATGTGATTATCTCTTTTCGAATTTCATCATGTTCCACAAGTTTTGCACCAGCTATAGTTGTTAGTTCAAAAATCTGCTTCCTATGTCTCCTCTCCTTAATCATTGTTGTGAAGTATTTATTGTTTAAATCCTCCAATTTAATCAACATTGCCCTTGATTTTTGTTGGCTAATGCTCTCTTCAATATTTGTCCACTTCTCTTATTGAATTAACAACTCTTTCTCTTCCAATGACAAGCTATCAATACACTTTTTGATAAGTTCAATTGTACAATCTTTAATGTACTTCTGATGTGATGCATCCTCTTAGTAGCACCTCTGTAATTATTATCATTCAGCTTTTAGAGATGAGGATTTAATTCCTTTAATTTATGCCAAATGCACCTTAATTCATTACCTGGTATGCTGCCTGACCAACTTCTTTGCACTATTGATTCAAATTCCTCATGTCTTGCCCACACATTAAAGAATCTAATGGGGTTTGAGTGTTGCTTGAATTTAGTTTCATATCCAACAGCATAGGGGAGTGATCTGATATATGAGGCAGTTTGTATTCTACTACCAGTTGTCCACACTGCATCTTCCATTCATCATTTCCTATAGCCATGTCTAGCCTTCTATATATTATGTCCTATCCCATTTGCTTGTTAGACCATGAATAAAATTATCCTTTCCAAAGTAATTCATTCAAGAACAAGTGTTGTACACAATCAGCAAAATCCTTTATTTCAATAGGATCTCCATTAAGTCTATCTTGATTTTTCAAAAGAGCATTAAAATCTCCCCACACAAGCCAAGGTTGAGGACTAGCCATGGATCTGATGTCATTCCACAACACTTTCCTCTGCTCATTAGTATTGTATCCATATACCACAGTCATACAACAATCGATCTTCTTGTCTCTGCTCAAGTCTTTACTGTGGACATATTGTGCACCTTGAGATAATGGAGTTACTTCAAATACTCTTTCATCCCATATTATCCAGATTCTCCCATTCAAAGCACTTGCATAGTTGTGTATCAAACTCCAGCCAAAACCTATTCTTTGGGATATAACATCCACCTTATTCATCTTTACTCTAATTTCTACCCACACAACTAGTTTTATATGATTTTCCTTTATATAAGTATTTAACTCTTTTTGCTTATATTTCTTATTAATATCCCTTACATTCCATACTAACCAACTCATCAATTATTGGAGGAGGTGTCACCTCCATCATTAGGAAATGGTGATGTAGCCAACACAACAACTGTAGGTTGTAAAACATCAAAACCATTTTGAACAGATATGGTTTGTGCATAACTCTTAATGGTTAGACTCTCAGGATTACCTTTAGCTGTTTGCTTACCTCTGGTGGGCATTGGTGTAAACTAAGTTGTTACTGAGCTATGTTGGTCTTGAATTGTTTGTACTTTCTCTTGTATCTTGTCTGGCTCCTGGATTACATTTTCCTTAGATCTCGAAATCTTCTTTGGATGTGGTTGTTGCCTTTTTGATTGTTGTTGTTCTTGTTGATTGAGCCTCCTCTTGTGACAGTTATGTCCTACCACCAAACATTATTCACAATATTCAAGTGTCAAGTCATATGAGACAATGTGTTGAAAAGCTTGTCCCTGTGCATCCATAACTGTAATCTCATTAGGCATTGGCTTTGTGACATCAACCTCTATCCACATTCTTTCATAAGAGATCCTTATTTGTTTGGTAGCGCACTCATCTGCAAATAGTGGAATTCCTACTGCACTTGCAATTCTGCTCAAGGAGTTGCATCCCCAACAATTTATAGGCAATTTGGAAAAGTAACCCACAATGGGATATCAACTAGGAAACTCTGCCTTAAAATCAAGGTTGGGCGTCTATTGTTTCAAAATTATTGGCTTATTATTAATACTATATGGCCCTGTGAATAATATCTCCTTCAAATCTGACTCCGACTGAAATTTCACTACATAATAACCTTCATCATGGTAATACAAAGTAGGGCTAGCCACATTGGTCAAGCTTTGAGCGATAAATCTCTTCATATAATTATACCTAGGCATTTCTCTAATTACAAACAATATTAGAGAGTGTTTCCATTTCTCCTCTTCCTTTTCCTGTTCTTTCTCATCCAATTTCACTATTTATATTTCCATTAACCAATCAGGTGTAATGTAAGTCAATGTCATTCCATTACTAGCAACTCCATTCCCAACAAATAGACTTACCCAGGGTTTCCCTTTATTTGCCTGCAGATCTCCTAGTTGCTCATTTTGCTCATGAGTCATTGGTGCTACAGCAGACAATTGAACAGTGTTTGACGTCAAAACTCTAGCTGATGTCTCCACAACTAGTGGAGTCTTCGATATACTGTCCTCAGAGCTCCAATTAATACTCCTTCGTGTCAACCTCGATGTACCTATCTGCTCATTCATCATCTTTATAGGGCTACCATTGTTGCTTGAAGCTTCCCTTGCCTGCTCCTGTAGTTCCTTCGATTGTGAACCTCTTTCTTTGTTGTTGATGCCAGTTCCCATTACTGTTGTTACAATCTGTTTTGGCCTCCCTCGTCATTTCTTCCCTGCCATACTCAATGTAGCGTATGTTAGCAGCACTTACGTCGGGAGCATTTCAGAGGACGTCCGGCTTATTATTATTACTAGTTTTTGTGCACGCGCGTTGCGCGTGTTTTCATTAATAATATTTTAAAAATTACATATATATTTAGTTTTGAAAATAAAGTAGCAAAAAAAAAAAGCAACTATGATTATTTTTGAAGAATTAAAATAAATAGTTGTTCATCAATTGATTAAACTATAAAAAAAAATTTATATATATATATATATATCTGAACCCTTTTTCTTATTATTTTGATCAAAATATATATTTAAATTATTTATTTAATAAATTAAAATATTATTTGAATAATAATTATATATTAATCAATTTTAATTCATAAAATTTAATTTATTGCTTTTTGTGAATTATCTTCTTCGTATGTCGAAACTACTTGAAAAAAAATTCTTGATAGACCTAGCAGTCGTGTGATAAGGAAACATCAAAGTGTGACATACCCATAGATCATCTTATCAAGAATTGAACCTTTGTGGCACATAATTTCTCCTAACTTGTATAAAGGACATGTCATATTAGGAAATAGGAATAGAGCAAATACCTTACATACTTTATCTTCTAGCTTATATGGAGATCGAGTGTCTCATCTAATGACTTGAATGGTAAAAGATAAAGTTTATCTTAAATTAAGGTAAGGGTTACAATTCAAACACTCAAAAGATCAAAGATATTTAGAATGACATTGGGGCAAGTGCTTGGTAAGCCAACATCCCAATGAACCAGGCGGGGCACTTGTAAAAAGGGAGACACACTGAGCAAGTACGAAAAATATCTAAATAGGGTTTGAGCAACGTTTAAATATACCAAACTTGTCATTTTGCATGCTAGGCATCAATGAGTCACCTACACAATGTACTTGCTGATTTATGAGTTCAGTCCTAGTCCATTCTAATAATTGATTCAGACAAATATTTGATAAATCGTGGATTGTTATTATAAAACTCCCTCTGAAAATAATTAACTAGAATATTAAGTAACTTCATGGACCTAGTTTCTAGCCATATCTCCTGTGGGATCGACCAACCTAGTTAAATCCTATATTCCAATAACGATCATTTTATACTTCATTGCAAAGATGTAATTGCTGGACCAAAACGTGCTACAATATGCAGCCTAAGGTCTGACATGCAAAATGCATATCTAACTATGCAACCCTATAGTAAAAAACTCATTAACTTTTTGCTCAAAACTCAAAACGACGATTTATATTAGAAAAGACTCATAGAGCTTTAATTTGATAAGTAGAACACCATGCAATTCCTTGGTAGATACACTCAATTGAAACAACCAATTGCAGCACATCGTTCAACTTTAACTTTTGTGCTAAACTTTCCATTGACCTTCAACCTTATTTTAACCTTTTAAAAAAAACATTTCATATATTGGTTCCTTGATATATTTATCCACTTACCACCTTATCCTCCTGAGGTTGAACAAATTTATAGGCATAGCCATAGACTAGTCTTCCTTTCGTATGGAGATAGAGAGTGTTACAATAGACAAAATTGATTCATACAAGAAACATTGCTCCTAAGAATAGATTGATGAATTTCCTAAGAATATACAACAACAGGATAAAGAAATTCTCCATCCCCCATCTATCGACAATTTTCCTGTGCATTTCTTCGAGCTCCATCGAACAAAAACCTTAATCAAGTAGTTGTTAGATGAAAGGGAAGATGATGTACTCCGCATAGAAAAGATTCCATATAAGTCTATAATATGCTGAGATTGCTTCCTGCAAAAATGCAGATATCAGATAGTACAGTGATTAAACACCTTGCAAACTACAATTGTTTACCAGTAGAATACACAGACACAAACATAAGATGTCATCCAAATGTTAAAATTACCTTGGTGTAATTTGCTCTTTCCAACAACCATGCCTGCAAATACATAACAAAGCATTTTAACATCTTACTTGAAAACCACAGCTTATTTCACAAGGAAGTGCTAAATCAATAGCACTATCCCCCAGAATATAATTGATAATGAGAACATCAATCCAAAGGCATAAAAACGCTAATTTGAGAGAAGCCAAAATGTTTTCATTCAACTGACCAAAAAAACTGTATAGTAAATTGAGGAACGGCAGGTAGCTTTTGAACAGTTGTTTAGAATCTAGAACTATTTGCAAATCCTATCATTGCTCGGGTTTGGTTTTCCTAGTATAACTAGAGACATCATATGATAGAGTAACAATTTACCAGCATTAAAAAGCTTCTTCAAGCTATACCATGGATTTAAAAATTACAAAATAGTTGAACAGTGTACTATGCCATATTATCTCAAAGCAACACATGCGAAGTTGAGAATACTTCTCTCAAGTTCATTCATGTTGTACACCAACTGAAGAAATGCACGATAGTCGATAGAGTTAAAAAAAAACAGAATTATCCAACACAACATTAAGTAGTGTTAACAAAATGACAGAGCAGTGATTAAATAAGCTAGGCTAGTCTCTCCCTGATGCGCAATCATGATCAGATTCAAATCTCAAACTAAGTACCTGGAAAACTAAACACGATGCTAAGATGACATGTACAGGTATCATCAAGCTACTCCTGAATGCCTGCAATAAAGAGAATTATGCTATTAATCATTTCTGACGGAGAGCAAAAATAGGATTAGTGAGGGACTTCTTTCCCTAAAGAAAATGTCAATATCATATCAAACATAACATGAATATCAAAAAAATCACTCACTTGGGGCATGTATATTGCCGCAACTACAGCACCAATGTAATTTGTTAATAATAGACCAGAGCCGAGAAATGCTATGTTTCTCACACCAAGCTTTGTTGCCAAGGTAGATATCTGAAACCTAGATTAGTACATTAAATGAAAAAGAGGAACACTGTAGATGTCAACAGTTATGAAGAAAAGGCTAAAAAGGCGAAGAATTCTTACTGAATTAGTTGTTGACACTACACAAGAGGATCTCCCCTTTTATGCGAGTTTTAATCTAGTAGTAATTATTCTCTACTTACAATAAGGTAAATACTTATTCTCTGTAATGAGGTACAGATTAATCTAGTATATCATATCAATTGAATCTAGACCCATTCCTTTTTCTTTTTCTTTTTCTTTTTTCTAAAACCACAAATTCGGACACATTATAACACCATAACTGTATGAATATTTCATCAGCAAATCATGAAAATTCTTATTTTCATAAAACAAGGCGGTGGGAGAAATGTCTATCAGCAATGGGGTATGGTATGAATCACTTGAAAGTTGTAACAAAAAATTGGAGATCAAGTAAGGCTACATGGATCGACAGCAGGTGTAAGCAATTAAAACTTTTTCATCGAGGAAATTCAGTGTTCATAAAAACCTCCAACTAAAGTAGGGGAAAGAAATAGCAAATTTCTTCAAAAATTGTATTACAACTTACTTGCGATCACCCTCCACATCTGGTAAATCCTTGGTGATGGCAATGACTAGTGCAAACACAGTCACAAAGGTAGTAATAAATGCAACAGGTGAGCTGCAGGTGAAATATGTATTACTAATCAGATAATCAATAATAAGGATGTAGAAGAAAAGTTAATCCAGTGTAAAATTAATTATGAAGTGGAATTAGTATTATAGACGATGTATTGCTTATTGACTTATAGCCAATTTGGAATAGTGAAACAAAAGTAGTTTTTAGGAACTATGCGCTTAAAAGCACTCTTCATGTGTTGGAGCTGATTCTTTAAGAGGTGCTGAGCTGAATTTAATAATAAGCAACTAAGTTTTTGGTTAAAAGTGCTAAAGAAAAAAATAAGTAACTGATGAGCTTGGTGAAATGCCCTTAACCGGTCGACGCTAAAAATGAACTGACTATTACTAGATTTTTTCTTCTAAAACTGTTCTTCCTATAAATTAATTTATGTTTCAATAAATTTTAAGTTCTAAATTCCTTAGATATGATTATTTTAATTTAAAAGAGGTTTTTTTCCCTTCAGTCAGATTGTTAGTTTCTATTCATGCACTATTACAGTATGTTCTTCTGTGGGAGCATATATACCAATTTTCTTCTATATTGAGTTTGCAAGGGAATAGGTAAAGAGAGGAAAGAAAGAGTAATTATAGAGCGAAAGCTCCCACGTCTATACAAGATACTGCAGCAGAGTAAATCTCTGTTGATTGGAGAGGAAGACCTTACAAATCTAGAACACATGCAGAACAATAGCTGGTATCTTTGTAATTATAAAAAATATATAAGGGATTGTTATTTAATTGGTCAAACCCTAATTACTTTTAAACCAAAAGGCCACCAACATACAGCTAAAATATAGAAAAAATAAAGAGATCACTTGAAACCCTAAGTACCTTTTAGGATCTCAGCAGGATCCCCACAATTGATGTGATTATCCCACACAATAACAAAAAAGCTTCTAGAAACATGAAGGGAAGACTGGAAAGTAGGCAAAGGCTGGCGTGTAGCTACCTTCTGATGACTACTATAGGTCATACTGCTCTTATCAAATCCTTATTTCTCTTATATAACTAAATGCCCTTCTAGCTTTGGATGAAATTCACTTAACCACTATGATTATATGTTAATTGATAGGTTTTGTTTCTTTAGAAAAATAAATATACAGAGAGATGAGAGAAAAGGCATGCATCTACTCATAGAAATAGAGTGTATGACAGAAAAAACATTCACCTCCACTCAAAGCTTAGTCCCAGAGCAGCCCTGGTGGCATAATACACACCATAATTAAGAAGAAATCCACGCACCTGCAATGCATATCAACTATTGATTCCATATGACCAATATATTCTTAACTCAAAGCAGGTGATATTTATTGGCCTGTGCAAAAAGATATATGCACCATAAAACTTTAGAATGCAATGAATAACTGCATACATTAACCATTCAGAATTATGAGAAGATGTTAAGATTGGTTATGGATGACTAGATGTTAATCGGTGCTATTTCCCAATACCCAAAAAGTGAAAAACTTGGAAACTGCCCAGATAGCTCTATCCTATATTTCAAGTGTTGATGATTACTGCAGAAACAGTCTTATTGAAGGTAATGTAAGGTTCAACAAAACAATTCTAGATAGGAAAGAGGATCAAGCCATAGAAAAGGATATGATTGAAACAATACAACATAAATTGTTCCATAATTTCACTGCTTGCAACTAATGGTGAGGACATCTACAGATGCAAATTTGAACAGCTGTGAGAAGCAGGTGCTTAGGTAAGCTTTGGAGTTCGAGAATTCAAATACCTCTGAAAAGGCAATAAGTGTGGACCAAGATACAATATAGTTGTTTCTATTAGAAATGGCCTCTAGCAGTCGCATGTAGAAGCTGCTAGAAATTCTTAACTCAATGATGGAAAGGGTGTGCGCGCAAAAAGGAAGAAGGGTATTAGGCTGCACCACTATGTTGAATTGAAGTCACTTTGGGAAAGTTGCCCCTATTTATTTATGGGTTGAAATTGATTCTCAGAGAGCACCAGCCAAAGAGACAAAAAGTTTTTGGGTATGTCCCCCAAACCACCATCACCAAGTCATGCTAACAATTGTCTTCACGATGAAAAATGACTTTGCTATATGAACCCCATTGCAGTAAGTGGAGAGCTTAATACACTGTAGGTAGACACGAGGTCCAAATTAACACTTTGCTGATAGTCATGTTCAATTAGCTATCTCCTCTAGAACTAACTGCAAATATATCCATACAGAAAAGTAAAAGAAAAAATAATACTAGGCACTAAACATGCTACCACCACCTGCCCAACACCGTCTCCTACAATCAAAAACTTTAGACTTCATCTAAGTACAAACTGTATCATGTCTATAAAAAGAGGGACTTCAGAAGAGGTAAATCATAATTCATATTTAACGGAAGAATCTGGCCATCAAAACACCAAACAGTTTTCCTATACAGCAAAAGATTGTCCTAAGGAAAGTTCACATTTGCAATACGATGTCCACAGTTTATTCAAGTGCGCTATCAAGCATATTGCTTTTTCCATGGAGGTACTTCGACATATGCAGAACTTCTCAAAAAATCAGAAAAGCAAGATGTGTTGTAAGGAGAAGTAAGAAGCAAACAAATACATCAAGAAATAAGCATACCGTGGCAATTATTAGGAACGCTATGACAGCAAATCTCTTCAGCCGAAATGGTGGGACTGAATAAATGGTACCTAGAAAGAGACCAAGACAGTAAAGAGAAGTAATGAAGGGGCCAAAATTCAGTCCAACAATAAGAAGGCCAGACACAGCGAACAATAACACCAAGATCCATGCAGACTGAACTGAAAGATCTCCGGCAGCTATGGGTAAGTACGGCTTGTTTACCCTGAAAGCATTATGAAACAGTAATCAAAGAAAAAGGAAAAATATATTGATTGCATCATAAAATTGAGAAGCTGAGATACGGGTTATGCCCAACCTGCAAGAGTATTCTGCAACTTAAAGTAACAAAGAAACAATCTATCCATCAACACCTAACAAATAAATCTATTCTTCAATCACTTACTTGTCAATGCCAATGTCATATATTTGATTGATGCCCACTATATAACCATTCCCACATATTAGGGCAATAAGACCAGAAAAGGCCTTCAATACTAATGACCACCTGATTAGGTTCGGATTCTCAATTAAAGCTCGAGTCACCAATGAGCTGCCAAAGAAATCATGTTAAAACAAGTTAACCAAAGTGTATCTCATATTATACACATAATAAACACTTACGCGGATCCTAGCACAGTCCCACGTATAGTGTGGGGCCTCAAAAATCTCCAAAAGGCATCTTTAAATTGTGAAATTTTATCCAACACTGGATCAGATCCAGCAGTACCAACTTGAGAACATGCCTGGAAGTGTTCATCTTTCATCAGAATGTTACTAATTGAACATTTCAAGGTAGTAAAGTAATACCATTGTCAGAAAATCTTATGTCCGTACACAATCAACATAGAAATAAGAACATAAATGATCCATATATGTGGTCAATAACTGGTGAATCATAATATAGACAGATAATTAAGCAAGCAATAGAAAGTTGAGTTCTTTAACACTTAGTACTAATGGTAAAATGCAGCAACTATCAAATTCTGGTAAAATGCAGCAACTATCAAATTTCTGAAAATCCTTACTCAATTTGTGATCTTCAGGTTCAGTAGGATAAAAGGTCACAGAATTTTGGTCAATAAAACTTGAAACTAATAAAAACACAAAATTACATCGCCAAAGACTAATTAATTTCTTCTCAAGACTAAACCAGAAAGATGCAGCAAAAAAACAACCAAACAAAACCTGAAAATTCTAGCAAGAAAATCATAGTTAATTCCTTTTTAGGAGAAAATGAAGTTCAAGAACTTGACAATCCTATTAAATGTCAAACCCCTCTTTCTGCTTAGACATAAAAAATTGAAATAATCTCAAATTTGTAGACTTACCCGGATGGAAGTGTGCCTGTAGTTTCTACACAAAAGGGTGTTTGAAAAGTTTTTGCTCAATCCAGGTAAAGATGACAAGTTGTTGGAAGATTTGAGCACCAAGTTAGCAGCATTACAAGAAGGTGGAGCAGTTAACTTTCTGTAGCGGTAATCATTGTGTTGGTGAGATGAAAATCGAAGGGATGAAAATGCCAACTCCATCCCCAAATGCCCAAAAAACAACAGTTTGGGTGGGGGGTAATGAAGAGAGGTGTACCTTGTCTCTTCAGTGGTGCTCCATCCTCACCCTTAAACTTTCTCCTATTTCTATTTCCCTCCCATATATATTGAAACAAATGGTACAAATACACCTTTTTCTTTTACCTACTAGAAATTACAACATACTTCCATAACTTGTACTTTTTAAATTTACGGGAGTCGTATTACCTTACAGAATTAATTTGCAATAAATTGTCTTTTCAGTCAATTTTGGTATCGATTGTATGAGGAAGATCGAGGACAATGTTGATAAATTAGTTTTAAAATGAGATTAAGTTTTCCCGAATTGAGAAATAAGGATTGATTAGTAAAATAGGAAAACCCTTTGACAAGTACAACCGTTGTATAGATTAACTTCGCTAGCTAAAAATTGTATATCATAAAGAGCATCTCTGCAAGGATTGATATTAAAATCGTTAATATGGGCTAGGCCCATTGGGTCGGCTTGGCCTTACTCGAGATTTAATAAGGGTGGGCTAAGATTTTTAAAGCACATTTAAGAAAAGGGCTTTTTAGCCCAGCTTGAATAAGTTTGTTGATTAGAGGGGCTTGGGAAATATAAGTAGGGTCGGCTCGTGGGTCAATAAGAATTAATTAAAAAATATAATATAATATTAAATTTTAAAATTAAAGAGAGTTCAAACTCAAAATAATTAAGTTAATATTTCTATGAAAAATTGTATATAATAGCAAACTATTATTTCGAATTAAATGCTATAAATATACTTTGATTTAATTCTACCCTATAGCAAACTATAGCTATTTTTGCCACTCTCCTTGATGGAATCTCGCTCGCCAATCTCGTTTGGTGGCAGTCTCGCTCGCCTCTCTCGTTTTTTACACAAACACAAATGTATAAAATGCATTTGTGTTTGTATAAAGCAAGAAATTGTATAAATACATATATTTTTGTTCCCCTCTCTCCCCTCTTCCAGATCTCGCTCGCCACTCTCCCTAATCTCGCTCGCCACCCTCACCTCTCTTGCTTATACAAACAGAAACGAAATGTATAAATTGTGTTTATGTTTGTATAAAGCGAGAAAAAATTGTATATACACATGTAAATACATATATTATCTTCCTATACACTTATAATTATACAATAAAAATACTCCCCTGCCCAGTTTTTTTTTTGCCTTTCTCTCTTTCTCGTTTTATAAAATTCAAATTGTATATAATTTCTCTCTTTCTCATTTTATACAATTCGATTCAATTGTATATTCTCTGCCCAAGTCTCTTTTGGCTTTCTGCATTTTTCATTTTATACAAATTCAAATTGTATATAGTCGTTCTATACACTAAATACAAATATTTCCCTGCCCAAGTCTCTTTTGTCTTTCTCTCTTTCTCGTTTTATACAAATTTAAATTGTAGATAATTTCTCTCTTTCTCGTTTTATACAATTCGCTTCAATTGTATATGTATAGCAAATAATATATATATATGTTTACCATGGAGCACAATTATGTAAACTTTGCTATAATATACAAATATGAATTTTGTGCTTGCTATATGTGAAAGTTGTCCTATTCTATTTTATATATTTATACTTTTACTTGAAAAAAAATTAATAAATATTATAAAGATAATTTTATTTGTTGATTTGATTAACAAGTAGTAACATTAACATCATGTAATATTGTTTTGTCGATATTTATGATAATATTTTTAAATTATAATTTATAATTTAATTTAATTTAATAATTATAAAATTATATACTTTTTTAAAAAGTGGGCTGGCCCGGCAAGCCCTTAGCCCACGTACTCGCGGGTTGGGCCGACCATTTTCTGGGCCACGTAAAAAATGGGCTAACCTGTAAAATGTCACAATTTGTATGGTTTAGCCCGGATGGGGTGGGCTAGCCCATATTGACAACTCTAATTGATATGAATGGTAAAATCTAACAGAACTTGATAACTATTATTTCAAGGGATTAAAGTTTGATGTTGTTGTGTATTCAACCATAATCATAGAAAGACAATTAATGACGAGAGTAATGATTCTATCGGTATTAAAAGTAAAAGGTAATAGATAAGATATGTGGAAGATAATTATTGAGAATCTAACTTCAAAGGTTCGATTGATTCTACGAATTGAACAGTTTTATAGATTATTCTCGAAGTGTAGGTTCCTATTTCGATTAAATCTAAATTCTAAGTAATTAACTAATAAGAATCTCGTTGAAATATGCAAAAGCTCTATAATGGACTCATGGTAATGTCTAGAGGAAAATGTCTTTAGTATATTTTTCTCTTTAGTTCAATCAATAATTTGACAAGCTCTTACATTACTTAGATGACTTGCAGATTTGAACCAAACACAAGATATTATTGAAATATTCACTAATAAATTCTCGACGATTATATAAAATAGTGAATGGTATGCAATTCAATTCACATTTCCAATTCAAGAATAAAAATAAAAGTTAAAATTTGCAATAAATCATCAAAATACCTTGTCTATACAAAAAAAACTATGAAAAAACATATATTTTCTAGTTTATTTGAAAAGAAAATTCACAAACTCTCAATCTCAACTTTCATTTTGGATTGGAGTAGCTCTTCCGTTCTTAGGTTCTTCAAGACCTTCTGTCTCTCCCCCTAATATCAAGATATGTAATATTAAATGCGCCACTACCTTATATAGCATGAGGTTGTGTTATTTTGAAATTTTGAAACTGCCCCGACTTGAAAGAATCTTGTTGTGACTTATTTGAAATTCATTGAATTTCTAACCATCACAACCCCCCCCCCCCACTCCCCTACTTAAAGTCCCTATATTATCAATGTATACACTACAGAAGCTAATTTCATGAGGATATGTAGGGTGCTTTGAAAGATGGACAAGAAATAGAAGTATATTCAGCACAGGGAACTGATAAGTTCAAGAATGAGGTTATCTTCATTGCTAAACTCCACCATCAGAATCTTGTGAAGCTTCTTGGTTGTTGTATCCAAGCAGAAGAAAAGATGTTGGTTTATGAGTACATGCCAAAATTTTTGTATTGGTTCCTTTTTGGTTGGTTCTCACTTCTCTCAACTCTTAATACATTTGGTTGTCTATAGCAATAGTTCAATCAGCTGCAGATGGATTTGGTTATCACTTCTCTCGACTCTTGATTTTTTCACATACAGATAGGAGGTCACTGCTTGATTGCGTCCATATTATTAATTAATGGAATTGCTCGAGGACTTCTTTATCATCATCAAGACTCAAGATTACGGATAATCCACAGAGATCTAAAACCTATCAATATTTTGCTAGATATAGATATGAACACGAAGATATCTGACTTTGACATGGCAAGAAGTTTCAGAGGAAATGAAACTGGAGACATGACAACAAGAGTGGTTGGAACATAGTAAACATCTTTAAACCAAAGAGTTACTAATTTTTTTGTTTGTTTGTGATTATACTTACATTCTTTGTTTGACATTATCCTACAACGGCTACATGTCTCCGAAGTATGCAGAAGAAGGGAAGTTATGGAAGTAATAAATACACATCTAAAGGAGTTATGCAACAAACAATGTGAAGTGCAAAGATCAGTCCATGTAGGTCTATTGTGTGTGCAGTAGTGTCCAGAATGTAAGAATGAGTGTTTCAATTAATTTTGAAACAATTCATCAGTTGAAAAAGTTTATAAATAACAAAATACATGAAAATTTTGCGAAAAACTTTTTTTTATATTCTATGTTATGGGTTTTTTGAAAGATAAGTTTTTCTTTTAATTCATGAACCTATAATAAATACAATTTAATTAAAGTTTTTTTCTTACAAAACTTTTATCCTATAAATTGAGTTTATTTTGGTTGAAAAGACAAGCATTCAAACCAAAGTACTTTCCCTCAAAAACATTTGTGAGATATTAATCAAAAGGTGAAATCACCAATTCAAGAATAGAAGAGCAACATTCTTGAATGCTACTTGTTTCGTGGCTTACTTGAATCCTGAAGATAGAGTTGTTATTTATTCTTTCGATTACTTGTGGGAGAGACTCCAACTATCTTCAAGAAACGTATTAACGTGCCTCTAAGCCAAGCAAGTTTTATTTTGTATTCCTTGTAATTTTATCATTCTTGTTCATTTGTTCTAACAACTTGAAGATAGTTGTCTCTATAACATCCGCATCAATAATGAATAGTCTTTCATCTTTGCCTAATCCTAATTTTGAAATATTTGATGGCAAAGAATTTCCTGCTTGAAAGATGAAATTCTTTTTAAGACGATAAAAATTGACATATGTTATTGAGAGACCTTGTCCTAACGCTCATGGTTCCGAGGTAGCAGCGGACGCGGCTACTTTAATTAAAGAACAAATTGTCAAATGAAAAGATGATGATTACTCATGTAAGAATTATTTTCTTGGAGAAATGTCCAATAAATATTATGATCAATATTATATTAAGTGCAAATTTGCTAAGGAGTTTTGGGATACTTTTAAAGCTATCCATTTAGCATAAGAAGCGAGTTCAAAGAAATTTCTTGTTTCAAATTATATGGAGTTCAAAATGGTTCATGACAAGTCAATCACTGAACAAGTACAATAATTTCAACTTGTAACTAATAAAATTGCTATATCTGGAATTGTTCTTGATGAAAACTTTCATGTTGGTGCTATTGTCTCAAAACTTCCTCCATCTTGGAAGGAGTACAGAAGCAAACTCTTGCACAAGAAGGAAGATTTGACTCTTGAACGATTATTGCAGCACTTGCAAATTGAACAAGAGACAGGATACCGTGACAATAACCTCTTGAAGGTGCCCATCATGAAAGCTCATGTTGTTAAAGAAAAGATCAAGAAGGAACCCGCCAATAATAAATTTTGAAGGCAAAGAAGAGTAAAAATTTCAAGCATATTAATTCTAATTCGATTGAATGTTATCATTGTCATAAAATTGGTCACTATGCACGTGATTGTAAAATTCTTAAACCTGAAAAGAAGAAAGAAAAGGCAAATAATAATACAAAAAATGAATTGGTGGCAATGGTCACAGAAGTATTTGTAGCAGGAGATCAAGTGGAATGGTGGATAGACATTGGTGCAACT